TCTAACTTAGTAAAAGAAGTGCAGCATCTCACCGGCATGGCAGCTGCACTCATTCGATTCATTAGTCGGATCGTCAGACAGACTACGAACACATTTTTTCTAGCAATTAAAAGCCCAAGTTCGAGTTGGGACGAAGAATGCGACGCTCGGCTGGAAAACTTGAAAGGAATACATGTTTCTCCACCCGCTGCTTGTACCCCAATACTGGAAGAAACCTCCTGTACCTGGCAGTCTTTCAGCACGCAATTAGCGCAGTGTTGGTATTGTGCGGAAGGAATCCACATCTGGCCCATCTATTATGTGCAGGAAGACATTTGCTGGGCGCGAAACAAGGTACTTGCCACTGAAAAACTGCTTTGGCTTAATGATGGCCTTAGAAAATTGTCGACTACTTCCCGCCACACCATAGACGTCCTCACAGCTTTTCCATTAAAAAGCTTTGTTTGAGAGGGCAAACTTTTTTGGCGAATCTTGAAGTGGGCAGAGAGTTGGACATTTAACACATTTCCAACCCAGAACAGTGATAAAGGCCAAGCTTTGGCAAGACTATTGATTGCAGGAATTTACTCCTGGAAGTCATCATATCTGCCCAGTTGACCTGACTAATGCAACCAAACTAGGATGTCATGCCCCAAAAATTCGAGACCACAAGAGTAATATATAAAGTACAACTCAAACAAAAGAGATAACCACAATTTTTAATATACACACATAAGTAGTGTTATAACATAGATAACTGATTTGAGTTCCACTAAAGTTTACAAAAAATACTGTCAAACCAAAAGGAAAAAAGAGGGAAAAACAAGAACAAACTACTAGTTCAAATTTTTCAAGTGAACCACGGCTCTAAAACTTCATCTTATTGTCTTCGGATAACCTTCCTCGTCGTAAGCTGCTTCTTCACCTGGCATAACACGCCATGAGCTTGGAATGCCCAGTAAAAAACCACACACACCCCTATATCTTTCTATCAATCAATCAACCATACACAAAAACAAATTAGGTAACATACATATTTACTTAAGGTTTTATGAAGTAGTAGTTAGACTAGGCATCTAGAACCCCCCCCCCCAAAGAGATCCTTTTACCCAATCACAAGATTAAAACCGGACTACTCAGAACTCCCCCTTTTGCTGCTTTTGCAGACCTTACCACCCATGCCACCTCCTGATTATTTACCGGTCAGCGACATCGATGGACCTCAAAGGACGGCCAAACAAGTGGGCTCGCTTACACCCCAAATCGTGCCTAGGGCTCGCTTACACCCTGCACATACCATACCAAAGGGCTCGCTTACACCCTGAAACCACCGCATAGAGTTTGAATAGTCCGTTGTCACCTAGGGTTCGCCCAAAACCTTACACAAGACTTACTCATTTGGTATCATAATTCAGGTCATTTAAACGAGTATGGAAAAAAAACATACTAGAGGAAATATAGTCCATGGTCATCATTCATAAGTATAGTAAGGCAAGAAAATAACATTAAAAAGGCTTTGAAACATTTAGAGACAAATAACATAATATAAACACAATTCCAGCACTGTTGTTTCTGCTGGGCTAACAAGAATGCTTTGGTAAAAATAACTTCTAGGACAATTAGGGGCTGAAATTCACAGAAATATATTCAATCTGGTAGTTCAGTTCCAATTTTTAGAAGTTGCACAGCCCCTCCACAAATTCATCTACAAACATATTCGAAAAATCTGTTCCAGATTTGTCACCCTTTGGGAACTAACATTTCTCTCAATCTACCTGATGTTTTCACTCAAATAAATTCTGTTGGAAAGAAGACTCAGAGTTCTAAATTTTGACAAAAAACCAACATGAGATGATTTTTTCTAGAATTTTATAAAATTCTTAAAAGTGGACTGTTTTTCAGAGACTCAGGACCAGATTTTCAACAATTTATCCAAGCCCTAAAAACACACAATTATGAGCTAATAAAATTATCACAAGCTCTAAACACATAAAATACCCTACAATAAATTCAGATTTGAGAATTAGATAGATTTGATATTTCTTTTAAATTATAGAAGTTGCAGCAGTGCCTAATTTTTACAAGTTTGCAACACAATGACACATTTATACCTACACTTCACACACACCAAAAACACCCATTTACCATCAATTTGTAACACAAGAGGCATATTAAACCATAGAATGAGATGATGAAAGGGTTGGAGAAAATAAGGAAGAGGTATGTTCTTACCTCGATTCCTTCTCTTTCCCTTTTTTTTTTCTTCTTCTTCTTACTTCTCTACCTCCCTTCCTTGAGCCAACTCTCCCTCTCTCACCCTCTCCTTGGGCTTTAGAAAAACGTGGGAGTGGATTTGGACAAGCCTTACTTATATTATATAAGCAGCTTAATGGCTAAGAGATTAATATCTAGATATTTTTTTTCTTTTTTTTATTTTTTGGTTTGGTGTTATCCAATTAACTCTTCCACCAACATATTATATATATAGATATATTATATATAATATAAACTATGTATATATCAAATACACAATAGTGATTCTATTCAAATAAATAATAAATGAAAGAACAACAAAAACAAAAAAAAAATAGAATAAGAATAAAATGTGTGAATTAATTTAGAAATTATGAGGTAAAATAAATAAAACCAAGTTTTAGGATAGTTCCAATCATAAAGTGGTGTTCTATGATTTAATTATGGTAACACACGGAGAAGTTATTATTTACTTGGGCCCTTACGCAGACTTTTACGGAACTAGGGCTAAAATGCTATTAACCTAAGGCTCAGGGTTTCAAGTGTAATGACAAAAAAAAAATTAGGGTCTCTACAACCTATCCCCCTTAAATAAATTTCGTCCTCGAAATTAGATCATACCTTACGTCTCAAATAGTTGTGGATAATCTGCCCGCATCGCGTCTTCATGTTCCCAGGTGAACTCTTCAATACCATGGTGACGCCAAAGTATCTCAAGAAGGTCTTCCCTCGCAAGTTCTTTTCTTGACTGCCCAAAATTGCTATTGGTCCCTCCTCAAAGGTAGCGTCTTCATTGAGTTGGATTTCTTCCCAGTTGATGATGTGAGAAGGGTGCATTATATACTTCCGCAGCATAGATACATGGAAAACATCATGTACTCCAGCTAACTGTGGGGGTAAAGCTAACTTGTACGCAACCTCTCCGATTTTCTGAAGTATCTCGAAGGGTCTAATATATCGAGGTGATAATTTTCCTTTCTTTCCAAAACGAATGATCCCTCGGCGGGACCGAATTTTCAGGAAAACATAATCACCGGCAGCGAAGGTTAGCGGTATTCTCCTTTTATCTGCATAACTCTTTTGACGATCTTGAGCTGCCACTAATCTTTGTCGAATAAGTTTCACCTTTTCTGTAGTTTCTTGCACGATCTCTGGGCCCAATAGACTCATTTCTCTAACTTCAGTCCAACAAACTGGTGATCTGCAAGGCCGGCCATACAGTGCTTCGAATGGAGCCATGCCAATACTAGCCTGGAAACTATTGTTGTAGGTGAACTCTACCAACAGTAGGTGTCGCTCCCAATTCCCCTTGAAATCCATCACACAAGCTCTTAACATGTCTTCCAAAGTTTGAATGGTACGTTCCGACTGTCCGTCAGTTTGAGGATGAAATGCGGTACTGAAACATAATTCGGTCCCTAACGCTTCCTGTAAGCTTCCCCAGAATCGAGAGGTGAAACGCGGGTCTCGGTCGGACACAATTGATACAGGAATTCTGTGTAATCGGAAAATTTCTTTAATGTAGAGATGTCTCAACGATGTCAAAGTGTCGGAGATTTTATATGGCAAAAAGTGCGCAGTTTTCGTCAAACGATCAACTATAACCCATATAGCATCATGTCCTCTAGGTGACCTGGGTAGTCCAGTGATGAAGTCCATTGTTACATGCTCCCATTTCCATTCTGATATCGGTAAGGGCTGAAGCATCCCTCCAGGTCGCTGGTGTTCTGCCTTTACTTGCTGACACGTAAGGCATCTAGCTACGAATTGAGCCACATCTTTCTTTATTCCGTTCCACCAGTATTGGCGTTTTAAGTCTTGGTACATTTTCGTCCCTCCTGGGTGCACTGCGAATACCGAATGGTGGAACTCCTTCAAAACTTTTTCTCTAAGCGACTCATCTTGTGGTACGAACACTCTACGCTGATGTCTCAAACTTCCATCTGAATGAATCGTCCAATCAGGTATAGGATCGCCGGATGCTATTCGCGCTTTTATGAACGCCACCTCATGATCATACTTCTGTGACTCTATTACCTCGTTCAGTAATTTGGGTGTAGCGATTTGAGCGCCAAGGTAAACCTTTTCGTCCTGAGCTTTCATCTGTACTCCAAACTCATTAAGGGTTCCGACCATGTTCCATTCCTTGAGTGCCAAGCTAGCAATAATTCCCCGGTTTTTGCGACTCAGGGCATCCGCCACCACGTTAGCTTTGCCAGGATGATAGGATAGAGTAAAATGGTAATCTTCGAGGTATTCTAGCCATCGTCTTTGTCTCATGTTCAAGTCCTTCTGCGTGAATAAATACTTCAAGCTCTTATGGTCCGTGAAAATCTCAAATTGTTCACCATACAAATAATGATGCCACTGCTTTAACGCAAAAACCATTACTGCCAACTCTAGATCGTGTGTCGAATAATTCTTTTCATGCGGTTTCAGTTGCCTGGAGCCGTAAGCCACAACCTTCCCTTTTTGCATTAGCACGCAGCCTAGCCCATCCTTGGACGCGTCGCAATATACCGTATATCCTATGTCTCGCTCCGGAATGATGAGTATTGGGGATTGTTCACATCTCTCATACCGTATATCCTAGTCAATCTGCTCTTGAGTTCTTGAAAGGATTGTTCACATGCTTCGTTCCAATCGTATTTTACCCCTTTTTGTGTTAGACGAGTCATCGGCTTAGCTAGTTTAGAAAAGTCTTGAATAAACCGTCGATAATAGCCGGCTAACCCTAAGAAACTACAAACTTCGAATACTGCAGTTGGCTACTTCCAATCTAATACTGCTTCTACCTTGGCCGGGTCTACAGCGATTCCATGCTCCGACACGACGTGTCCCAAAAATGTGACTTCCTTCAGCCAGAACTCGCATTTACTTGCTTTTGCGTACAGCTGGTTGTCTCTTAAAACCTGGAGAACTACTCTCAAGTGTTGCTCATGTTCTTCTTCCGACGGTGAATAGACTAGAATATCGTCGATAAACACCACCACGAACTGGTCCAAGTACTGAGTAAAAATCTTATTCATCAAGCTCATAAACACGGCTGGTGCATTGGTTAATCCAAAGGGCATTACCACAAATTCGTAATGGCCATATCGGGTTCGAAAAGTAGTTTTTGGTATGTCATCATTAGCGACCCGCAATTGATGATAGCCAGATCTAAGATCAATCTTTGAATAACACTTCGAACCTCGAAGTTGATCAAAAAGGTCATCAATCCGTGGAAGTGGATATCGGTTCTTGATCGTCACCCGATTGAGTTGCCGATAATCTATGCACAATCTTAGTGTTCCGTCCTTTTTCTTTGCAAATAGAACTGGTGCGCCCCACGGTGAGGTACTTGGTCGGATAAATTTCTTTTCCAGTAATTCTTGCAGTTGCGTCTTCAACTCCCGAAGTTCGGCAGGAGCCATACGGTGGGGTGTCAGGGATATTGGTGCAGTACCCGCTTGTAACTCGATACTAAAATCTACTTCACGATGTGGCGGTAATCCTGGCAATTCATCAGGAAAAACATCAGCGTATTCACAAACTACACGTGGAAGATTTAAGTCCGATTGAGCTTTTTCATTAATGATCAAACTTGCTAACCATCCAGCAAATTGTCGACGCCACTGCATTTTACGATGTGTCGTGCTTAGGGAATCCTCTCTATCCCCCTTAAATTGGAAACACGTTCCACTAGGTGTGCAAACCGTCACCCTCTTGTGGTAGCAATCAATCACTGCTTGGTGGGCGGATAACCAATCCATTCCCAAGATTATGTCAAAATTGGACATGTTCATGACCCGAAGGTCACAACTCAAGTGTAACCCTGACACTTCTAATTCACACCCTCGACAGATTAATCCTACCCTAATACTTCCTCCCAAGGGTGATGCAACACGTAAAGTAGTTTCTAAAGGTTCACATTTAAGACCTAATGATTTAACACATGATGTTGATATAAAAGAATGTGATGCGCCAGAATCGAATAGAATGTAAACCCAAGAATGATAGAGTACAATGTTACCTCTAATTACTGGTGGATCTTCATTATCTTCCTCTTGGAGAGCAAAAACTCTACCTGTGGCTTTTTGATTACCGGTTGGTCTAACCTTTTGGTTTCCTCCTGACTTGTTCAACCATGGCCTTTGCCCGCCAATAACTTGAGCATTCGCACTTGAACCCCCTGCTTGATTTCCCATCCCAGAAAGTTGGGGACATTCCGACTTCTTGTGCCCTATCTGATAACAGTGAAAACATTGGATTTGTGTAATAGGCTTGGTTTGTAAACTTCCTTTATGGCTTTGCTGTTGCGGCTGTTGCGACGGTCTAGTGTATGGTGTCCGTACCACATTCCTTCGGTCATTTCTTCTTAGCCTTACAAAGGACTGACCCCCTTTCTTCGTTTTCATCATCCAAATCCTTTTTGAGTCTGCCCACTCTCTTTCTGCATCCAATGCCGTGTCCACCACATCAGCAAATGTAGGGAAGCGCAAGGGTAACACTTTACCTCTAATAATAGGGTCTAAACCCCACTCGAATTTTCGTGCTTTCTCTTCCTCATCTGCCACATATCGGGCTGCGTATCGAGCCAGCTCTTCAAACTTGGCCACATACTGAGTCACTGACATCTCACATTGTTTCAAAGTTTGAAATTGCCAAATTCGCTCTTGTCTAACTGTGTTTGGGAAATATTTTCTTAGAAACAATTCTTTGAACTAAGCCCAAGTCATGCTTGTCGTGTCCCGAGAGTTTTTCATCAAGGACCACCAATGATCCGCTTCTCCTTCTAGCTGATAACTTGCCAGGGCGATCTTGTCTGTATGCACAGTAATACCCATGGTTTCCAACATCTTTTCTATTTGACGAATCCAACTCTCAGCGACTCTCGGGTCAGGCTCACCTGTGAACACCGGCGGTCTTTGCTTTCTGAACTCAGATAACAAATATATCCGCTCATTTGGTTGCGTTCTTCTAAGCCTTCCTAACTCTTCAAGAATCTGGTTTCCGACTGGTCTTGGCAACTCCTCCGCAGGTATAGGTCTACCGCAATTAACGCCTTGATTGCGAGCTGGACGTCCTCGTCGGCATCTTACTTGATCGTTTGCTTCCACATTGTCCGGCATCTACCAAGTTTGTGGGTAATATAAGCTTAGGGTTATTGTGGAGGCGAAACGGTGTTCAATAAATAGGCTAATTTAATGTGGTCTGAGGTGTAATTAATTAATTTCTTTATTTATTTATTTTCTTTCCTAAATGGATGATGCAATTAAACCAAGCAGAATAAAATAAAATAACATACAATACAATACACTAGAATAACCAACTAGATATTTTATGTATATACATATATAACTTCTTCTTACAAAAGGTTACACTATCTAGGTTAGCGTGTAGGGTGTATACACCAAAACAAAACACGCTTCAACCACACAAAAAATATTTACAAAGGTACACAAAAAGGTTCGTCTCACGACTACTACAGCCCTAAGTCAAACGATTCCTCTGGGCCTTCTTCGGGATCTTCTTCAGGATCTTCCTCAAGATCCTCTGGTGGTAAAGGAGCATATGTTGGGGAGGCTGGAAACTGCTGGGCTGGTGTAGGGGAGCACTCTGACGACACCTCTATAGGGAATGCAGGGGAAGCTCCGGGAAGTACCGAGACAAAAGGAACCTCTAACTCAGGATGATGAGAGCCACAGCTCTCGGGTCCAACGCGACGCATCACTGGATGCGGATCCTCAGCCAATACCTCTTGCCTAAGCTCAGCAAAAGTCTGACCATTCGCCTCTATCTGTAGAGCGAACCTAAGCTCCCGGTATTTGCACTGGAGGCGTCGGCGTACCAACGCTCGTCTTGCTTGCGTGGTGTAGTATGAAAAATCCTCCTCTGTTTTCCGAATAGCTTTCTTTATCACGCGCTCCGCTCCTAATTGACACCGTTGGTTAAGTCTTTGTGGACTAACAGCTACTGCCCGCCTATTCTGGAAACGAAAAACTCCCCAGTCATCAACGCTTTCTGACGCAGAATCCATCCTATAGTAGGTAAACAAATTTTTTTTAGTCCACCTTTAATATGATATAGTATAATGTTAACAGAATGTGGTAATGTAAAAGGCAAGGATATCTAAAATCACAAGTCAATACGCGTGGGTTAAGGGTTGAACCTAGGGCTCTGATACCAATTTGACACGCCCCAAAAATTCGAGACCACAAGAGTAATATATAAAGTACAACTCAAACAAAAGAGATAACCACAATATTTTAATATACACATATAAGCAGCGTTATAACATAGATAACTGATTTGAGTTACACTAAAGGTTTACAAAATACTGTCAAACCAAAAGGTAAAAGGGAAGCGAAAACAAGAACAAACTACTAGTTCAAATTTTTCAAGTGAACCACGGCTCTAAAACTTCATCTTGATTGTCTTCGGGATAATCTTCCCCGTCGTAAGCTGCTTCTTCACCTAGCATAACACGCCATGAGCTTGGAATGCCCAGTAAAAACACACACACCCCTATATCTTCTATCGATCGATCAATCAACCATACACAAAACAAATTAGGTAACATAACATATTTACGTTAAGGTTTTATGAAGTAGTAGTTAGACTAGGCATCTAGAACCCCCCCCCAAAGAGATCCTTCTACCCAATCACAAGATTAAACACCGGACTACTCAAAACTCCCCCTTTTGCTGCTTTGCAGACCTTACCACCCATGCCCCCCTTCCGGTTATTTACCGGTCAGCGACATCGATGGACCTCAAAAGGAACGGCCAAACAAGTGGGCTCGCTTACACCCCAAATCGTGCCTAGGGCTCGCTTACACCCTGCACATACCATACCAAAGGGCTCGCTTACACCTTGAAACCACCGCATAGAGTTTGAATATGTCCGTGTCAACCTAGGGGTTCGCCCAAAACGCTCACACAAGACTTAACTCATTTTGTATCATAATTCTGGTCATTTAAACGAGTATGGGAAAAAAAACATACTAGAGGAAATATAGTCCATGGTCATCATTCATAAGTATAGTAAGGCAAGAAAATAACATTAAAAAGGCTTTGAAATATTTAGAGACAAATAACATAATATAACACAATTTCCAGCACTGTTCGGTTCTGCTGGGCTAACAAGAATGCTTTGGTAAAAATACTTCTAGGACAAATTAGGGGCTGAAATTGCACAGAAAATATATTTAATCTGTCTAGTTTCAGTTCCAATTTTTAGAAGTTGCACAGCCCCTCCACAAATTCATCTACAAACTATATTCGAAAATCTGTCCAGATTTGTCACCCTTTGGGGAAACTAACATTTCTCTCAATCTACCTGATGGTTTTCACTCAAATAAATTCTGTTGGAAAGAAGACTCAGAGTTCTGAATTTTGACAGAAGAACCAACATGAGATGATTTTTCTAGAATTTTATAAAATTGCTAAAGTGGACTTTTTTTCAGAGACTCAGGACCAGATTTTTCAACAATTTATCCAAGCCCTAAAAACACACAATTAGGAGCTAATAAAATTATCACAAGCTCTAAACATATAAAATACCTTACAATAAATTCAGATTTGAGAATTAGATAGATTTGATATTTCTTTTAAATTATAGAAGTTGCAGCAGTGCCTAATTTCACAAGTTTGCAACACAATGACACTATTTCATACCTACACATTCACACACACCAAAAACACCCTATTTACCATCAATTTGTAACACAAGAGGCATATTAAACCATAGAATGAGATGATGAAAGGGTTGGAGAAAATAAGGAAGAGGTATGTTCTTACCTTCTCTTTTCCCCTTTTTTTTTTTCTTCTTCTTCTTACTTCTCTACCTCCCTTCCCTTGAGCCAACTCTCCCTCTCTCACCCTCTCCTTGGGCTTTAGAAAAACGTGGGAGTGGATTTGGACAAGCCTCACTTATATTATGGCCCTGTTTGGTAAAGCTGTGGGAAAGTGCTTATAGCTTATGACTAAACAGCTTATAGCTTATAACTATAAACATAAGCTGATTTCTGACTTATAAATTAAGCATCTTCAGCCCCACTCAAAGAATAAGCTGATTTCTGACTTTCAAAAAGCTATAAGCTATAAGCTATAAGCTAAACCAAACACATCAAAATAATTTAAATTAAGCTGAAAGCTGAAATAAGCTGTTTTTAAGTTCTGCCAAACAAGCACAATATAAGGTAGCTTAATGGCTAAGAGATTAAATATCTAGATTTTTTTTTCTTTTATTTTATTTTTGGTTTGTTGTTATCCAATTAACTCTTCCACCAACATATTATATATATATATATATAGATATATATAAACTATGTATATATTCAAATACACAATAGTATTCTATTCAAATAAATAATAAATGAAATAACAATAAAAACAAAAAAAAATATAAATAAAAATAAAATGTGTGAATTAATTTAGAAATTATGAGGTAAAATAAATAAAACCAAGTTTTAGGATAGTTCCAATCATAAAGTGGTGTTCTATGATTTAACTATGGTAACACACGGAGAAGTTATTATTTACTTGGGCCCTTACGTAGATTTTTACGGAACTAGGGCTAAAATGCTATTAACCTAAGGCTCAGGGTTTCAAGTGTAATGACAAAAAAAATATTAGGGTCTCTACAAGGGATGAAAGTTGACGCCGGAATAACGCAACCCCTAGTGCAGGATACTCAGTCGGACCCCAAGACAAACCAGAGTAAAGAAAGCAAGGTAGAAGCAAACCATGCTACACCAAGCCAAGACTCACCAACAAATAAAGGCTTGGTTCAATCAGATAGCGAGGGGCAGACAGCAAGTATGGACCTTGAAGAAGACACCAGCAACATTCTTGACCCCACAGCATCATCTGACCCCTCCACTTGCTAGGAGTTGTTCGTCGGAGAGATGTGGAAGCTCTTCATAGATGGAGACTCGGCATAGTCCTCATCTCATCGGATGGCCTAGTTGTGAAACAAGCAGTCAACCTTGGCTTCCCAGCATCAAACAATGAAGCGGAGTATGAAGCGCTTCTTGCAGGTCTCAAATCAGCATCCTACATGAAGGCCACCGAGCTAATGGTTTACAGCGACTCACAACTGGTGATAAATCAAATTTCAGGCGACTACGAGGCAAAGGACGACAGGATGGCTAAGTATCAAGACTTAGTCAGAAAAGAGATCAAGAAATTTGAAGTAGTGAGGATAGAACAGATTGGCAGGAAGGAGAACAGCAGAGCAGACGAACTAGCAGGCTTTGCTTCAATGGCAGATACATCCATCCCTCATCCGTTGCTAATTGACGACTTACCAAGACCAAGCATTGAAGACCCCGAAGCAGAAGAGGTATGTTGCGCCGAACTAGGCCCCTCATGGATGGATCCCATCATACTATTCTTAAAAGATGGCGTCTTACCAGAGGAAAAGAAAGAAGCTAACAAAATTAGAGCAAAGTCGCAGCGATTTTGGCTCTCCCCATCTATGGCATTATACAAAAAGTCATTCTCAGGACCTTACCTAAAGTGTGTCCACCCCAGCAAAGTGGAAGCATTCTTGTTCGAGATACACGAAGGCGTGTGCGGAAGCCACCAAGGAGGAAGATCGTTAGCTTACAGAGCCATTTCGCAAGGATACT